ACCTTCACAATTTGTCACATCCTTATGCCTCTTGCACTATTATTTACCTAAGATTTTTCTTAATAAATTCCCACACTGTCTTATTTTTAAAACCTAACCTCGTCTTAAGCAGTAATACCCATAAAATCATGGGTTTAATGACTTGGTTGCTTTTTCTAAAATACATTAACATTTATAGCTACTAAAATAAAACTTTTTATGCCACTAAAATCATCACCTCACGTTTTACATTTTGGGCATATAATGTGGTCTGCAAGTTTTGGGTGTAACTGATGAAAAGAAGTGTGGACACAAGGGTCTCTTTTTTATCTGGTCTCTCTCCTTACTTGCTAAGGACACGTGCTTCTGAGAACAAAGCACATTTTCAAGAGTATGATAGGAGACAAATTGTAAAATTCCTTGAATAAGTGCTTTCTAAACATGCCCCATGGGCAAACAGTTGGAATGCTTGTTCCCAGGCCCCTCCCTGGAGGTCCTAGTTCTCTAGATCTGTTCAGGGCCCAGGGAATCACAAGTGCACCATGCAAGTGTGGCAAACATCTCTCTGAGTCAGAACAACAATTGTTCTCTGAGTTAATTCAGAAGGTTTAATTGAGCTAACTCTCAGGACTGTGGTTAATGCTGATGTATCTATCTGCCGGCATCTTGATCAAGTTATTTTACACTTAAAAGAATCACACTCTTCCATGAATGAATGTTACTGGGGAGAATAGAAGACTCAAAGGGGATCACAGGATTTTCATATAGTGTTTCTGTGAAGGTCGTGCAAAGATCCTGTGTTACGAGGGCCAAGGTGACTCTGTGGCTGTCTATGTGAGGCTGGAATCAGAGAGGAGTGTGGTCGTGCGAATCAAGCTTTAGCTGCCCAAGGACCAACTGACAAGAAAGCCTTCTCTGTGGCTTAGTGAAAGAGGTCAATTTCTGGGGAGTGAGGTTAAGTTCACCGAACAGGTAGGGGGAAGTAGAGCAGGAGTGTGCAGGTGTGTGAGGCAGATCCGGGAGAAGAGGTGAGGGTAGAGGATGGGGCAAGCTAAGGTGAAAATGCAGAGAGAGGATCAAATCCAACAGCTGGCTCGTGAAGACAGCTGGAGTCTGGGTCCAAGGCAGACAGAAGGAGAATGCATGAGTCAGGATGAGACTGGATGAAATTTTCTGACACAGATTGCAATTGCTGTTTCACGTTCTCTCTGTGTGTTGTCAATGGCTGACTCCCACTAGATAAACATGGACTGAATGAGAGGACCTAATATGTGCATAGACCTCAATGGCAGAGTGGGAATGGGAATATGAATGAAGAATAAAATAGGAAGGGAGTCTACAGCCTGCTAAGATGCCATGTGTTTTTTCCTTTTACATGGATAGGTACTTGTTTCCCCCTCCAAAATTCCAAGAGAGATTGGGACCTCTTCAGGGAGAGAATTAATTAATTTTTTTCTTGCCTAATGCCAGGCACAACGCCTTACTCTGGCAGGCATGAGCATCATATCTAGCCGAGTAACTCTCATTCCTCTTACCAGGAGCCATTTTCTTAGCACATTTCTCTCTTCCTATTAGATGTCTGTGTTTATAGCAAGCTTAGATCATATAGCACTTGTCAGAATAATTTGGCAATGATTGACCCAAAGACTTCTTTTCTTTTTGAGGACCAATCAGATATTCTTACAATCTGGGAAGGATCAAATGCAGTGAGTCTTCATTTATAAACAAAGTAGATTAGCCATTCTCATATTACAAATACAAAATCAGAAATCATAAGCACTGAGAACACATATGTACAATGTCACAGCTTGTATAAGGCTTTTAAACTCTTCCTGAGTCAATACTTTTATTCTCAAATGATTTTCATCTCTCTTTGTATTTATCCAAATTGGAAATGACACTGAACATCTACACTGTCTTTTGTAGCGTCAACGCACTTAGCAGATCTGGTTAAGTTGCTTACAGCTTTGAATACTGTGTCTCCTCATGATTAGGTGCAGCTGTAAAAAGAGTAAAAAGAATAAAAGCATATTTCTTGGGTTTTCTTAACTAGATCCCAGAATAATGAGCATGCCATAATAACAGTATTGATAATAGCTACATTTACTGTTATTACATGCCAGGCACTGTGCTAAGCATATTACATGAATTATCTTTTCTTCCCAGTAACCCTATGAGGTAGATAGTAGGTTATTCCCATTTTCAGATGAAGTGAATGAAGTCCAGAAATGGTAAATAACTTGTTAGTTACCCCCATCTAGGAGCTGGAAGACCCAGGATTCAAATCCAGGCTGTGGAACTCCAGCCCCCACATTCTTCCCTACCACTCTCACGACGTAGAAATGATATTTGGGAAGAAACAGTCCTCTGCACCATGCTCACAGGCTCAGAACCAGCCCACAGAGGGGCATGTACAAGTGGTGGTATAGGAATCAGACTTTTCTAGTCTTTCCTACTTTAGGTAACTTTTCTTCATTTGCTCTGATGCTGAAACTGCGTCTCAGATTGAATGGTATTCACACACTTGCTTTAATAAAGTGAGTGATAGCTTTTCCAGGTATATTTTAGTTTCAATGTCTGTTTTGGGGAAGAGTTTCCTCAGGAGGTGGGAACCGTTTGTGCACACATAGAGGCTGAACAAAATCAGTGGTCACTCAGTTAGAAACCATCAATGCAGAGCTACAGACACGACAGCACGCTGAGCCAGGAAGCCTTGGTTTACCAAGAACAGCGCCTGGGCAAGTGATTTAGTGAATGAGAGGACGAGTAGAACAGCCTGTAATGGGAGTCAGATATGTCGAGGGTCAGCCTGTTCAGTGTTAGGGTGAATCATCACGATGATAACTGCAATGCGTGATACTTATGGTATCCTTTTCACCCGAGGGGTTTTGAATACATTGATTGTTTTCCCTCCATTTCAAATTTCCTCATCTATCTACTGGGAAAAGAAAATCATGTTTCCATTCTTTACTCCTCCCAACCATTCCTCTTAAAAATATAAATTGTACTTATTTTGGTTGAATAAATCATTATAAAATGACTACAGTGGCTTTGAAAAAGACTTTTTTATGTGTAACTTTCCTTTTTCACTTTCCTTCCCTCAGTGCTGTGTCTTAAGAAAGAGGACACAGAGGTACTGAAATCTACAACTGCCTGGAAACTATTAACAAGGATGACATTTATAACGTCTTTCAATGAACTGATTTCCCTTTCCAAATGGTTCTGGAATTTTTTTCTAGTTACCCTTTCTTAGAGTCTGATTCTATGACAGTATTCAGTTCCTTTTTCTTGTAGGAGGGTGTTCTATTGTTACCTTTTGTATGTTTTCAGGTGTCATCCTGTTCATATTCTCTTTTGCTTTTCTTTTTGATTGAGAATCATTTACCATTTTGTCTTTTGGTTCCTTTAAGAGAGGTATTTCCTGCTTCCATTTGTTCAATTTGTTGAAATTGTCAGTTAAGTACTGGGTATCTGGAGTAGGGAGCACTATAGACAGGATTTCTAGATTGGTCCAGAAGATGAAGTATCTATATGTCCAGCAATGTCTATGTCTTAAGGTGCATGAGAAAAATCCCTCTCTCAAAGATTTAGAGACACAGCTAATGATTGATGCATTCCTAAATTCACCACAGTTGATGCTCTATAAATATTTGCTAAATTGAGAGCAAGCTTGGGATAAATATCACAGTGTGGTGTTAGAAGTGCTTTTCAACTTTAGAAAATGCATAGATTGGTGTGAGCGGAAGTGGATGAATTAGACATTAGAGAAAAAAAGAGATGAGATGCTGGGCTAGTGGCTTTATTATTATTATTATTTAAGTTAGAAAAGGGGGCAAAATATGATAAGGAAACAATATAAGCAGAGTCTTGGAAGTGATGATAAAGTAGAACAGACAAAGAACACGTTGGCCACTGTACCTGATCTCAAAATGTATAGAGTGTAAGGAGAAAGCCATAGACTCATGCATTTTGTAATGGGAAATTTTTTTTAATGAGAATAATGATCAAAATAAGAATAGAAGAATAGAAGAGGGCTCATCATGGATCCCTTTGGGGATTATTTTCTATGTAATCTTCTGTAGCTTATGCTTTGTAATTAGAAAGAATGATCCTCGGTCTATTCCATCCTGTGATGGAGGAAAGGGCTCAGGGTTCCAGGGAAAGGCAAAAGGAGAGCATAGTTTTGACCAAGGCCTCAAGGTTGCATCCTTCAGCAAGCATTGGATCCTCCAGTGATGGAGGCGCTGGCTTGCATGACATCTGAGAAGGCAGAAAGGTAATTAACCAATAAGAGACAAGGTGTTACTGAAAAGCAGAGTTCGTGCACCTGATTACTAATTAATCAGGCGTGAGAGCACCTTGTAGCTGAATTCACTATTTAATTATAGCAGCCTCTCTTGGCAAAGGAGCATATGTTCCCAGCTTAATCTACTGGTTTATACTGACATCAAATTGTCATTATCAGAAAGAATCAGGCCTTTTGATTATTTCCACTAATTTATTGAACACTTAAAATTAATGAACCCCAGGCCTTTTAAATGTGCTCAGTTGGTTTGGAAGATGGGAGGAGAAAGGAGGGAAAAGCCTTCATTAAAAGGACAATTTGTTGGGATGAAGGTAAAGCAAATACATTTCATGGGTGATCTGAATTCTATTGGTGAAAAGCACATGAATTCTAAAAGCTGAGCCTTCAAAATGATGGAGAGGAAATAGGATATGCGGTGTGCCCTGCTGACCAACATTGGCCTCCAAAGAACACATGGCTCAAGGATTTTTTCACCTAGTTATTTATGTGCCAACTTTCTTGGAGACCTTACTGCAATTAAGTTTAATCAAATAAAAGCAATCAAAATCAAATATTGGAAATCAATCGTTAAACTAACAAGGACTTTATTTTTTTATTTTGAAAATTTAGTTTGGTTGTGGAGAATTTAACATAAAGGCACCTTTCTCACATATGAATATCTTTCGTATTAAGATGATTTTTGCATTACATTCAAGTTGTGGCTTTCCATATTAAGTTTCAGGTGAAGGCCAAGTTCGAGTGATTCTCCATGTGAAGGAAGGTGTGCCCCCAACTATTTCAGGTGAGTATTAACCCACCAAATAGAAGTGTCTAGTACAGCAGTATGTCCTCCAATAATGGTTCTACAATTCCTCCCATCATATTGTTTATAAATAGGCAGATATCAGCCCTGATGCTTGTATGCCTACCCACTCTCTATCGTGTCACCCTTACGGATAAAATATGTGTCTGCATGTCAAAGACAGATATAAGGAGGGTACATTTCAAAACATTGAAAAGTAAGAATTAAAACATGTAAATAAGCACATTTCATAAATTATGGATCATATGTGCACACAGGAGTCCAGGTCTGCAGATGGGCCATTAGGCCCCTAACAAATGGAAGGAAGAATTCAGGGTATCTCAAAACTTTAATTGTTCCCGGTAATTTCAGAAAATCAGGATAAACAAACCCTTCCTAAAAGTCAGATGGTTCTGTGAAATCTTTCTAACTTATAAAAGCCAAATTCTCAAAGACTAAATGACTCATAAGCACCTTCTAATGTATTTCATGGTTTGTTTTTGTTTATCCTGAGTCAATTTAACTACGCATTTGCAGCAGGGATAAATCTTTTCAAAGGCTGAATTTTCCTTTGATATCCAGTGGCATTTTTGTATTATGTCAGAGTAGGGCCCATGCTAATCAGAAAATGATCGAATTCCTCCACTTAAATTGATAAATAAATGATGCAAAGGTACGGGACTAAAACTATAAATGAGAAGTTCTGATAGAACTCATTACTCCATGCTTACTGGACTAGAAAGAATGTAATTCTTTGTTCTCATAACTGTTTCTGAGGTGCCATAGCATTTTGTTTTTTATGTTCCCTGTCCTTTTCCCCTCTTTTCCTTTAAGTGGCTGAAAATGCATTGTTTATTGAGTGCCTCTAGTGCGAGGTGCAGGAGGATACAATGATGAGCAGTCGTCTTTGACTTCATGGGGTCTTATGGTCACCTGGAAATGTCAATCAAATGACTAGCTAAATAAGCAATAGATAAATTTCCTTTAAAATAACTGTTACCAAGGAAAAGTATCTCACTATTCTCTCCTTTCTGAAAGTTCTGTGTTCAGATTCCTCAAGAAGAAACTCGGTTGGGTCAGTCCCCATTTTGTAGAGAACATACCTTTTGGGGGAGCTCTCATGCCAGGCCCCCTCAGAGGACACTGGATCGTCTGTCGGTGGCCATTCCTGGTTCAACCAGCTGTAGTCAGGGTGGCATGCCACTCAGTACTCAGTATGAAGACTTTTGTATTAAGAACTCTTTGGAAGGACACTGTGGGTGGCCAGTATCCAGGGCTTTTCAGCAGGGGTCTGTTTAACTGGGAGATGCTTCACTTGGCCTGTCAATTACAACATGCTGAATAAATAGAAAGCTGATGCTTCGTAGAGCTGTAGAATTTTAATAAGGGAAGGAGCCTCACAGGCTATCCTATCCAATTACCTCATTTTACAAATAAGGACATAGAAGCCTAGACATTAAACAGTTGACTTAGTCACATTACTAGTCAGCGGAGCCTGGATGAGAACCCAGGTTTCCCAACTCAGTCCAGTGTTCTTTCTGCTATACCATGTAAACTCTAAGGTGTTTACATTGCCTTTTTTGGCATATATTAATTTATGAGTTAGGTTAAAATCTAACATATGTAGTCAGTTTTCCTAACCTATATAGTTTGGGACAGAAAACTATACTAAAACACAAGAGTTACAGAATTAGTACATTATCATTCATCAGGAAGAAATTTCAAATATTAATATGCTTCTAAAACATTGCCCAATTACCATGTTGTGTGGTGTATGTGCCAATGTCAAAATTTAAATATGAGTATGTATTTTGCTTAATGAAGAGCTCTAGGAAAAGCAGTAAAATTATTACAGTATCAAAAATTCTTTGACAAAATGAGACTGGAATGATTCATGCAGTTCTATCTATATGTTAACCCATTCAGAAATTCCATATGAGTATGTAATGCAGATGGAACATTTAGGGTGTTCTGCTGCAGAGAGCCTCTTAGTTCACTCAGTTAATTGAGGGCTTATTCTGTGTACAAGAGTATGCTTGTCACTGTGGGGGCATTATGGACAGGAAATTCCAGAAACAGCAGAAATTTGGGTACATATGGGCCAATGTTGGGGAGAGACAGAAGAGGTGGTGGTGATGTAAGTTGTTGTATGGATGCTTAGTTGGTTCAGGGTGAGGATTTATGCTAATTTGGGTCAAGATGGTACCCAAGTTTCTGAATACCCCGATGCAGGTCATTTACATTCCTCCAACATTGGCTGTTTTGGTTTCCTCTCAATGTCCACATTGCTTTATAAAAGATGGGAGAAGGGAGGATGGGGGACGCAACCCCCTTTGGAGAAAGATAAAAGTATTTCTGAACAGCTTTTACCTCAACCATGTTGTCTCTTCAGTGGGGGCTGATTGGAAATACCGTCCAGAGTCATATGAGGACATGCAAATGATCAGATATTCTCTTCCTATATTTGCCAACCCTTTCCCCACAGACCTAACTTTATTTCCTTTCCCCTGGTCTCTGAGAATCTGTCAGCGCTTCTCCTGTTTAAAGTCAACCCATCCCTTTCAGCATCTTCTTAACTTTGTCCCATCAGTGAATGACTCTGTCTTGTGTAGTTAACCTCTCCTTCTTTACTGGCTCCTTCTGTTCAGTGCCTCTCAATTAAAACAAAACAAACAAAACAAAATTCATGGATATTGACTCTTCCTCTAGTTGATATTGCTCCTGAAAACTTCTCAAAGACTAGGCTCCTCTTGCAGAGCCATAAAAAGCTAGGGTGGGGCCAGCCCATGGCGTAGCAGTTAAGTGCACACACTCTGCTGCTGGCGGCCTGGGTTTGGATCCCAGGCGCGTACTGAGGCACCGCTCGCCAGGCCATGCTGTGGCAATGTCCCATATAAAGTGGAGGAAGATGGGTACGGATGTTAGCCCAGGGCCAGTCTTCCTCAGCAAAAAAAGAGGAAGATTGACATAGATGTTAACTTAGGACTGATCTTCCTCACCAAAAAAAAAAAAAAAAAGCTAGGGTGGATGAAGGACCAAGGTGGAGAGGGCGACATTTGGCTCAGAAATCAAGTTGGAGACCACTTCAAATTGTGGCTGTTGTTGAGTGACAAATTTGTAGAGGAAAGCAGGGTGAGGCTTCATCGCAAATCTTGTTCCTGATCAAAATTTGTAAAGTTCGGTTTTAAGATAAGTCCAATTTATCTAAAGATTCGGAAGATAGATCAAAGGCTGAGGGTCTCAAATCTTAAAGCTGTCCATTCCTCGATGATCTTTTTGGATGATCTGACTTAATGTCTTCCCTTCCTCACTTCCAGCGCATTCCTCAGTCCACTGCAATGCGTAGTGGCTTCCACCTCAACTACTCCACTGGGACTGCTCTCATCTTGATCAGCCATGCTCTGGTTGCCGAATTCAATAGCCACTTCTTATTCCCTCTCTTATCGGAACTCTGCTATTAACAAGATCACTTCTGCCCTCTGGACATGCTCTATTTCTTAGGCTTCCAAGACGCTCCTCTCCCCTGGTTCTCCTTACATATCTTTGACTGCTTCTTCTTTCACTCTTCTAGGCTTTTCTTTCCCCACCTTTCTATATTAATAATAGTCATATAGAAGCCTGATATTAACTGCATAGAAATCTGATAACTGCAGGAGGCTGAAACTGTTTCCTTCTCCATTAAGTGTTCTTATCTTAAGGCAGGATGGTATAGAATGATCAAATTCATTCATAATAACATCCCTTAGAATAGCTACTTTAAGATTTAGTTTTTTCAATTAAAGACAGTTTCAGCTTACCTATAAACAAGGGTGAAGATGACAAAAGTGAAGAACATTTGTTTCTAACACCTGTGATATGAAATTAAAGTAAATAAAGGTTTTTGAGGCTTGGCATGAAGTTTTAAAGAACCTGGTCATTACCTGTTTGAAATATTACTGGAAATAAGGCATCAGAGCATCTTTCTCTGGCCTTTGTGGTGCTAGTTAGTGGCAATCCCATCCTCACCTGACTAGTTAGAGTATAGTATTGGAAAGGAAGACAATTGGGAGAAAACTTAGAAAGGTATTATGGTATTGGTGTTTATAAAATATTTATAAAGCCTCTTTCTGATTGAGGCTTGTTCTAAGACAATGCCTAATTTCCATGGTGTGAGGTATAAATTGCCTAGGATTTCTACTTGACCACAATCTATGTATTTTTACGTTATCCTGGGGCTCTAATTAGACCATGACTACTGGGGAGTCAGGTTTGAATAGACAAAATAACCGGGTGTTACCCATGATTCTGACCTCAGGCATTTTCTTTTCTCGCATTGTAATCCCCTGGAACTATCACAACCATCCTCAGAGTTTCAGATATGATCTTTTGGCAGATAAGCCAAACTCCATCTCTTTGACTTAGAGCTCTCTCCCACCCTTCAGATTTATATCCTTGCCCTCCTTGCTGTATAGCTCCACCTGGAGGCCTCAAGGACACCCCAAGCTCTATATAGCCCAAACTGAATTCATCAGTGTATGTCTTAAAGGACATCTCTGCCCTTCACCACCCATGCTGGTAACTCAAAGGTCATCCTTGGCTCCCCCATCTTTGTTACCCTTTACACTCTGACCTCTGATTATTTCTCCAGCCTCGTCACTTGCCCCCTTCCAGCTCTGTGGCTCAGCAACACCAAATTGCTTATAGTTCCTCCACTTGGTCTCTTATTTCTTGCCATTGTTCTTGCTCATCCCTCTGTCTGGAGTGCAGACTCTCAGCACATACCTTTGCCGCCACTCCCCACCCCTATTTCTCTTTGTAGCTCCTAAACCTTTAAAATGCAGCCCAGATGCTCCCTCTCCAGGAAGCCTCCCCTGACAAGGTCCCACGTTCTCCCCTGGCTGAGTGCCGTTAAAGAGAACTCCCTCCAGAGCTCTATCCTCCCAATATTTACTTACACAACTTACACAACACTGTTAGCTCCTTGGGGGCAAGTGTGACATTTTATTCCTTTTTTGTATCTCTGTTTTTTAGGACAATTCTGATAGAGAAGGGAATCATTATTTATGCTTGTGAAATTAACAAGTAATAGATGAGATCTCCGCCCCCCTCATCATGTGAGATTCCCCCATCATGTGAGTTCTTGACACTCCCAGGAAATCTCCCTAGGCTGAGAAGAAAATATTTTTCATAGAATAAAAATATTTTTCCCCTAAAAGACTTAATTCCATTTAAGGTTTAATTTGAACTTCTTAAGATAAACTGAATAAAAGATCTGTACTGGAAGAAGAATATTTAGTCATCTGTGAATTTTTTTCATCCTCTTTTGAGACAATTTCTCTGCCTTTCTAACTCTGACTAGGGATCACATTCCAGAAAAGAACATGTGGGTACAGTTCAACATGGTGTTGTACATGATGTGATACTGGGCAGTCTCCATTGGAAATTATTAGATTTATGTTTCAATTCCCTGATGAAGAGGTCAGTGGTGGGATGGTTGAAAAGAAAATGCCATTTGATCATCAGTGGCCAAATCAATAAAAACCAGTGGAAACATACAAACTGTATGTTTCAATGCAATGAAACGAGTCCATATTGTTAGGCTGACTTTAATATGCATTAAGAGCTGTGAGAAGATCATTCCCTTTGACTCAGGAATTCCATTGCTAAGATTTTATTTTAAGAAGAAATTAGTATTATTGGCAGATTTGCTTAGAGATATTTAACACTGCATTATTTATCATTTAAAAAGAAAGTAGAAAGAGACTTAATACCAAATATTAGGGATTACATAAATTATGGACTTTTTATATAATAGAATATTATGTAGCCATTAAAATTATGTTTACAAGGAGTTTTAATAACATTAGAAAATGCATATTAAAAACTGCTAAGCTAAGTAAAATAAGAGCTGGATATAAAATTGCATATATGATATAATCTCAATTATATAAAAACGCTGGGAACTTCTGTAAGGAAATACAAATAAAAAGTTAATGGCAGTTATCTCTAGCTGGTGAGATTGTAGGCAATTATTATTTTTTCTTTTTCTTTCTGTATTGGTATTTTCCAAATGTTCCATGATAAGCATATGTAATACTTATAATAAAGCAAAACACAAATGTTTAATAACAAGAGTAGAATATATTTTTCCTAGAAGTGGAGGTAATCGAAGAATTGAATACTTACTTGCTTTATACCTGATAAATGTCTTTTTGGAAGATTATAAAATATCGAAAGGCAACTACTTTGGGAGGTGAAAATCTCACCAGCATCCTAAAATAATGATAGAATTTGCAAGTTATCATAGTGAATCAGATTTCCATACTTATTCTTGCTATATTCCTTTTGTTTTCTAGCTTCTACCTCTGTACCTGAGTCAGCGTTAAAATGGTCCTTTCCTGAAGCATGGGCAGGAGTTGGAGAGGGCTGGGGAGGACACAACCATACCACTCCAGGCCCTGGGGATGACGTCCTGATTCTACCCAGTGAGTAAAACAATCCATGAGTTAAATAATCGCAGACAGACTGAACCAGGCCAACCTAATTGGGCATTACCCGTCATTTAAAAGTATTATACAACACAGTAAAGAATATGGAAATAAGTAGGCTTGTATGTTTACAACTTTCTTTTTTGGGCTAATTCAGGAGAGGAATTTCATAATCCAGTGAAATCCAGAAAAAAATAGCTCAGCCTGCCTTCATTAAAGGTGGAATCAGTAGTCACCATGCCAGAAGGAGTTAGAATAATCCACTAACTGGATAATTTTTCTTATGTGTCAGAGAACAGATGTACAGAAAATTTTAGTATCCTTATGTATGAAAGATACAGGGTGTATGGAAGGAAGCAATATGCAAATACCTCCTTATCTTTTGCCTTTGTGAATCTTTTATATATAGGACTGAGGAAAATGATGAATAAACTCTACTGTTGCCATGATTTTTCAAAGATGCTGGAAAAGGAACAGATAAATAAAATAGAAAAAAATCTATGTGTGTACATATGTATTATATAACTAGCTGTCTAATCTATCATCTATCCATCCATCCATCTATTTAGAACTCTCTTCCTGTACATATATATAGAAGAAGGATGATTCCTCAAATAAACAGAAACACACATCCATACATATAAAATTCTTCTTTTTTAAGAGAGAGTCCTTGAAACTCCCAGAAAATCTCTCTAGCCTGAGAAGAAAATATTTTTCACAGAACAAATATATTTTCCCTAAAAACCTAATTCTATTTATGGTTTAATTTGAACTTATTAAGGTAATACTGAATAAAAGAAGATCTGTATTGGAAGAAGAACATTTAGTCATCTGTGAAGTAATAATAATAATAATATCAAACATTTGTTGACAACTAACAACATGGTGGGAATTATTCTCTCTCTATTAACTAATTTAATCCTCACAATAACTCTGTGATATAAGTAATATTATTATCCCTATTTTTACTGACGGAGAAACAGAGGCCCAGGGCAGTTAAGTAACTTGCCCAGGGTCACACAGTTTGCAATTCAGAAGAGTCAGGATTTTAACCCAGCGGTCTGACTCCAAGTCCATATTCTTGACCAATCAAATACATTCCCTTTCTAAAAGGACAAAGAGTAAATGAAAAGAGAGTAGTTGTGTTGTTTGTTTTATTTATGATGAAAAATGAAGGCAGAGTGATCAAAAAATACTGACGACCTTCGGGACTTTGGGGTGTGCCTGTGTAACTAACTGTGCATAGAGAGACGAGAGGCACAAGGGAGCGGGCTGCCCAATACGAACTTGAGCTATTATTATCATCCGACTCCCCTATCATCCACCTCTCTCAATGGAGGATGTAACTTTTCGAATAAACAAGCTCATGAGTCATTCCTATACAGAAGGGAAAAATCTGTTCTGTCTCAGCCATCTCTTTGATGAATCTAGCCAGCGGATTGGCCCTGGGCTATGGTTTTCCCACCAAGCAAGCTGTTTCCGCCACTCCATGCAGGAAGCAAGAGAAGCTTTTGAAGGTTGCCAAGCTTTTAGTATCCCTTGGGACTTTTATGCTGAGTGAGGGGTAATCTTAGCTGTCTTTCTTGGCATTGCAGTTGACTGTATCCACTGTGTGCCCCACTGCCGGGAGCCCCTGGCATTCTCCATCCCCCTTCATTCCTTTGTTTACGGTCAGCTTATAAGATGGGCCTGAATTTTCCTTTTGCTTTTAAATAGCACAAAACAGTGCTTTAGAAAAAAGTGTGTATGTGTGGGGGAGTGGTACAGGCATTGGGTGTATAAAGTATCTCCCAGTCGGTCCTTCAGTATTATTGCCAGAACCACAGAAGTTAAGATTTTTAAAACACACAGTTATTGTTCATTATTTCTAGTTTTCAAATGGACAGATAAGTGAATGAAAACAGACATGCAATATATAATAAATGAAGTCTTTACTCTCTTCTTGTTGCCTCTCTTCTCTTCTCTAATAAGCCCTCTTTTAACGCCAGTAAATTATCCTGTAGTGGCCAGCATTTAATCCATTGTTCCATTTAGTCTAATCCCTACGGATTTTCGGCAAATCCTGATATTTTGACCTCTGATGGACCTTTGAGTTGAATTTACCTCCTCTTTCTACTTGTGGTTTTGCATTCTTGACCTTTTTCTGGCTCTCCTGGTTTCTTTCATTTCCAGCCTCTTTTGAATCAAGTACATCTGTATACCCACATCTGGCACGAAATAGACACTCAATAAGTATGGCTTGAATGAAGTGTACAACCTCCGTGCTGCCATCCATAGTTTAATTCCAGAAATAAATTTTGGGGTTTGACAGGTTTGACACAATACAACTATAAAATTTTACAGATCTGTGAAAAAATAAAGTTTTCTCCTTTGAACAGATTCCTAACAATTAAGATTTTGATAATGATGATAATGATGATGATAGCAGCAACCACAATTTGAGTACTTGGTGTGTGTCATGCACTGTGCTATATGTTCTATATGGATTTTCTTAATTAATTCTCACAACTACTTTATGAGTGGATTCTGTTGTTACTCTCCTTTTCGTAGATAAGGAATCTGGGACACAGTGGGGTTGCCCAAGTTTCACGCAACTAGTAAGTAAAGAGGCTGGGGCAAGAAATCAGTTTGATTCCAGAGGCTGAACTCTTTATCATATCATTTTTTAAAACTCACCATCCCTGCCTGCTCTGATTGATCCACATCAGACTATGTATTATAATGAATTTATACTTCTCTGCTTGCCGTTCAAATTGTTCCCTTCACTAGGAATTAAAATGAAGAAAACGCTACTATTTATTGAGTATCTAGCACATGTCAGATACTCTACCTGAGGAATTTAATCTTACCACATCCCCATTAGATACATACACATGGAAAAACTAGAGGAACTTCCCAAAGAGGTATCTGATATAATGAGACATTGGCAAAAGCATTTGCTTTGTATCTGGTAGCAGATGTAATTGCAAATCAACTCCTTTCCAAGTTAACCAACATTTACTGAACACTCAGTGTGTTCAAGGCACTGTACCATGTGCTCCTGATCTGGGGTTCCAAAAGCAAGTCAGATATAGCCATGACCTCAAACATCTAGTGATTTAGCTGGGTTAATAAAACACATAATATGTAATAATACAACAAATAATTGTAATCAACAACATCAGTGTTTAGAATCAAAGTGTCTCAGGCGAGCAGAAGAGAGATGGTTTCATGGAGGAAGAGGCATTTGAAGTGGACCTTCAAAGATGGGGGAAGAATCGGAGGGGCGATTATGAGACACAAGGGCATATTGGGGAGGTAGTGATGCTTCAGTAGATGTAAGACGAGCTGTTGACTAGGATAAACCTGGGTTTGCATTTGGATTCTGACATTTACCAACTGTGTGACGTTGGACAAGTTTTAAATGTTTCTGACCTTCATCTATAAGAGTCATAATTAATATATCATAATATTGAGAAGATTAAATGAGATAGCATCAACCCACATGACTACTACATAGAGTATTGGCAGTAATGGAATTATAGATGAAAGCTGTGATTTTTAATGTATTAGGTGTTCTTTTCCTTCATTTTTCCATCTGGCTGCCCCTCTTGGCCTCTGGTATTAGTGACACTTTGTATTTGCTTTCCAATGGCTTATTATTTAATTTTCACAACATCCTTGGGAGCTAAATAGGTAATAACTATTATTACAGTAAAAACCCATTTTTACATAATACGATTTTAATGGAACTGCTGATTTTACAAAATGAAAGTGACTGGTAAAGAAGATTTAAGTGATACTTTTGAACCTCTAATATAATTTTATGGTGTTTTGTGTATTTTAATTCATTAATAAAGGAAATGTGTAGAACATTCCCATCATTATTCAAATAGAATAGCATAATTTTTCAATAAAATTCTTAGGGTAAATTGCCTATTTCCATTTTCTGGGAAATCAATTTTATGGAATGACCTCAGACCCATCCTATTCCATAAAAATAGGACTTTACTGTACTAATAAAAGATATCACTATCTTAAGTACGGTACCATATTCCTTTGAGGTGTTCTGTCTTTATAGACATTGGATTTTGAAAGATTTTAAATTCTTCTCAGTGGTATTATGTGGAGTAAGCTGAGGTAATCATGAAGAATTTGCTCTTGTAGTTTCATTTATGATAACTTTGCTTCACACAAACAAGTATATCCAATTGTCTTTGCCTTCTAAATATTGGGAGAATTGATCTATATGTTAAAGAATTGGTCTAAGATGGTCTAGACTTCTTACAGAGTGGGAACAAGTTCTGTCTAAGATACTATGCAAATCTCAAACCTTCACAAGGAGAGCTGGTCAATGGGCAAAATGATTCTACTAACTTGTACTCCATATTTTGTCCCGAACTGACCTGAGAGGATTTATGTAAGATGCTTCCAGTGCTTTCTCTGAGGCAGTTACAGCCATGACAGGATGACACACTTTTCACACAGGGCAAGCTTAATGAAAGGAAAATGTGTTATAATTCCAAATGATACGATTCTGTTTTGAAGAGTACAGATATGATATCATATAGCCTCCAGCATGTTGTGTGTGTGTGTGTGTGTGTGTGTGTGTGTGTGTGTGCACGGTAGAATTCACTGTGTTCCATTTTCTGTATTACTTTGAACTGTTCTTATTTGAAGAGATAAATGGGAAAGTACTGTTTTTCTTTTATAATAGTTCTTCTGTTTGCCCTGATTTTCAGTACTTGGGTAATTTAAATGGTAGAGAGGTTCATCAAAGCCATGTGATGCTTAAAGATGGAAATATTTAACACATTTCCTTTTAAGTCACAAGGCATTAAGGTTGATGATATGAGATAAACATGATCATAAATCGAGAAGTAATTTTTGGAGAGGAGAATTTCTAAAAATGTGGTAAATATAGCATTATTAGCTTAATTTACCATTTTCTTACCTGAGATTATAACTAATTTAGGGCAAGATATATGTAATGCAGATATTTAGGTCTGTAACATCAA